GCTCTGCTGGGCGCCGGGTGTCCACCGAAGCGGGGACCTCGCCGATCTCCGCATCCTCGATGGCCACCACCTGGTCGGCTGCTGCCGCCTCCCGAAGCTCCTCGGCAGACGGTCTGGATGACATAGGTCCGGCCGGGGCGATTGGCAATGGCGGGGGCAAAACCCTTCGGCGCTTCTTGGCCGGCGCCTCCGAAGGCGTCCCTGCAGGGCGGGTCGCTCCCACCTCCGCCGGGTCGGCCGGCACAGGCAGACCAAGCTCGCGAAGCTTAGCCTCGGTCATTCGCCGCTTCGCTCGGCACTCACTGGCCGGGTGGCGCCCTCCGCATGCCCTGCCCGTCTGCTGCAGCATCGCGCACATGTGCTCCCTTGAGCAAGGGTCCTGGCGGCACTCCCCCGTGTTGAAGTCCGGGCACAGCGCTGTGCCATTCTTCAAGTGCCCTGTGAGGAAGGTCTCACCCAGCCGGGCTGGCATGGCACTGACCGAGGGTGCCGGCCTCCGCATCCGCTCGCGGGCGTTGTGCACGAGGGACTGGCTCAGGGAGAAGCGCCTCTTGAGTGCCGTGGTCTGCGGTGCCTGGGCCCAGATCACCTCTGTGTCGCCCCGGCACGCTTGGGCGGCCTTGATCTTGGCCTCTCCATCGGCCTCGGAAATCTCCTCCTCCGTGACCGTCTCCCAGGCCTCGCAGTCCGCGACCTTTGCGGCCACGAAGAAAGCTCTCAGCTTCGTCCTCATGGAAAGGGCGTACTTGCCACCGCTGTAGTGGAACGGCATCGAAACTCGCTCCTCCACCTTGTCCTGCCAGTCCCCCAGGGCCACGATCTCGGAGTCCTGAAGACGAATCAAGGACCCTACCGTCGGCAGCAAGCGCCTCCAGGAGTAGCTGGTGAGCTGCGGGCTCCACCACGCCGTGGAAGATGTGCTGAGTAACTCTCTGCACCTCCCGAATGGGCCAAGCCTGGCCAGAGACCGGATGGAAGCAGATGCCGCACTTGTCGTGCTTCTCCGGCGCCAGCCCCTGGTATTCTTCCAGCCACTTGTCGGCCCAGTGCCAACCGTTAGAGAAACGGGCTGGTGCACTCCAGTCGAATCCCTGCCGGTTGTGGGCCTGCTTCCCTTTGTGGCAGTGGCCATGGAAGAACTCCCTGCTGATCTTCACCGGGCTGGAGAGGCTCAGGTGCTTGTAGCGCAGGCATCCCGCCGCCACAAGCCAAGACGCCAAAGATGCGGTCCAGGCAGGATCACGGGCTTGCTGCATCTCGATGATCTTGCCCTCCAGGGTGAGCAACATGGGTGGTTCCACCACCACCGCTTGGGACCTCGCCTTGCGCACCTTCCCAATGACCTTGGGGGGCTTCAGGCGGTCCAACTGCCACTGCAGCCTGCCGTTGTTGGACAACCAGCGCAAGGATTGCAGAGCTCTCGAGGGCGACATGGCCTGCTCAAGGAAGGCGTGGAAGTCCAACTCCTCTGGGTCCTGCACATCCCTGGCCGCAAGAAAGAGCGAGAGCTCCTGGAACGTCCTCACGGCGTTCAGGATCGTGGTCGCCTCAGACTGGGTGACTCGCTCCTGAGCCAGCCTTCGAACTGCCTGCTGCCAGTCCGCGTAGCGCCTCGGGTCGTCATGCCGCCGAGGCCGGAGGACACCCAGCTTCATGAAGGCCTCTGTCAGCAAGTTGACCCTGCGGCCGACCGCCTCAGCGTTGTCTGGGTTCTGCCTCAAACGCAGGCCCACATTGCTCGTTGGGAGCCGCACCGCTGGCCGGCGGAGGGTCGATGGCCCCACCGGCGTCACTCGCCAGGGATCCACCTCCACCACTGCCGCAGCTGCCGGGAGAAGGTGGGCTTGCTGCTCCGCCCGCACCCGTGCCCAATCAGCGGCCACGAAGTGGCCCCCCACGCGCACAGCGTCGTCAAAGGCCTCGAAGGCGAAGCCGAAGTCGGAGTCCTGCATCAGCCCATGCTTTTGCCGAAAGGCACGGACGTTGGCCTCCTGGACTCGGGACATGAGCCCTTCACCAGAGCCGCCCGGGTCGCCCCCGGAGTGCTCCATGGCCTCAGTGGCATAGCGCCCAGGCGTGGCATCACCGCGAAACGCCATAGCTACGAGCAGCAACCCCCAGCGTAGAGCCTTGGCAGCAGCGGATGGGGCAGGCTTCACATCGGTGGATACCACATGACGCATAAACGGAGTGAGCCCTGCTGCCGCAGTAGGCGCAAAGCCCGCCCAAAGGGAGGTTCCTCCTCCCTTCGTCCAGCCACCCACGGAGAAGCCTCCCCGCTGTGGCTTTGGCCAGGGAGTCGCTCTCCCTGGGCCATGGCTCGGTCCACCTCCGAGACCCCAAACACCATCGCCTCCAGGCCCCCAAGAAGCCCCGGAAGGAGACGAAGGGAAGGTCACCCGACTCCACTCGCCCAGCGATGGCGGAGACGTACATCGGGATGATGTCCTGGGCGCGGAGGCCACTGCCTGCTTCAGCCACCATGGCCTCTGACAGGCGATCCTCCTCATAGCACCCATTATAGGCGGCCCAGGCCTCCTCTGCAGATGCACCGTCTTGAACCAAGACTGCACGCCGACACCAGGTTCCGATGAACGGGAACTTGAAGCCGCCCCGAGACATGTCGCATCTTGCACACTGGCAACGGTGCATGGTGCAAATTGAAGGTGGGGTATCTCCCCACTAGCAACCAGGGGAATGGGTTCCTGCGTGAAGGGGGCATGCAAGATTTCCACAGCCGAAAGCCAGAGCAGCCGGGCCTGGCCATGATTCCCCTGCTCCAGCAGAGTGCCCACATGGCGCTTGAAGTCGATGTAGGCGCCTGCAGACAAAATCGGCCGATCCGTGTGGACGGCCAAATCGACTCCTGGAACTGCAATCATTCGACAAGTAACTCTTGCCGAACACGCAAAACCAGCAGTTAAAATTTAGCCAGTTTGGATCATACTTGAGCCAAAAGGCCCCGCATGATCCAATACGCTCCTTGTAGAATGAAGCCTGTAAACCCAAGCCTTCCAACCTGATACAGGATTAGAACGTTCAGAAGCCGGTGGACCAGAAACATGAAGGGGAACAAACAACCAAAAAGACGGGGGTTAGTAGGCACGGCTGATCGAGTGGATGGGCCAAAACAAGTGACCGAAGACTTTGTTTGCCACTAAAACGGTCTTCTCAAAAAGTGACTGGATCGGGAGTGAGTGTGAAATCGCTGGTTCTATTTTAACTTCTTGCCGGTTGACAAGAAAAATGAAGGGAACAAAACAACAAGGCATGCTTTAAGTGGAAAAGGACACCGATCCGTCCGACATGAAGGTGGGTTTATGAAATCCACGGAAAGCGCATCCAAACAATTCGTTAGAGGGCTTGTTTGAAGGAGCAAAGGAAAAAACATCCTCCGGCATGTCCTTGAAACATTTGTCTGGCCCTGGATGAATGAACCAGGTAAACCAGGAATCGCCCTCTATTGCTCAATCAAACCAGGCAAACCGAACGCCTATGCCTTTTTGGGGGTTCCCCCATTGTGAGAAGAAGGTCACAAAATTGGAGGAAGCCATTCGGGGGGGGAGGAGGAGGGGCGGGGGAGTGGAGCTTAGGTGTCCTAGAGAACACTCTCGTGGATGCCGGGAAATGAGAACCAACCTGCCAATCTAGCTACCCTGACCGAATCTAGGGGTTTAGGCGACATCCTCAAAACCCGAGCCAAAAGGTAGTTTGAAAGGATACCCTTGGAGAAGGCCCTTCAAGGAGGTTCAAGATGAACCAAGCAGAAACCACCTGGCGGTCGCAACCCCCCATCGATCACCGTGAATTCAGGAGCGGTGTGTTTCGGGACTGTCTTTTGTTGGAGGGAACGCTTTTTGAGGCTGTTTCAAGCAAACCCAGAAAAACAACCAAGTCTTTTGCTTTTTCCACGAAACCGCCCTCCACCAGGAGGGGCGAAGCAAAGTCGTTTCAGGTGACAAGGAAAACAGCCTCACCTTAACTGACTAGTGCTTGGACACCTCCCCAAACTTTACTCTACGGAGTAAAAAGAGGGAAGGTAGTCCAGTAATTCAAGCCAGCGTGCTGGCAAATCACTGCTCTTTTGCGCCTCAGCTCTAAACAGACCGGTGTTCCCCAGCACGTCCCGCACCCTTCGAAGGAAACCATGTGCATGACTCAGAGGGCAGCCGGAAATCAAAATATGTCCAGCCTGTTGGGCTCGCCTGATGTCATTAACATGGCACCCTTTCCCACTTGGGTACCCCGTCACCCCCCAAAAACACCCACTTCTCAATAACATTTGCGGAGGCGGTGCTTGGGAGAGAGTTCATAGATGTCTAGCCCCTGGGAGCCTTGCTCAATGATACTCGTGCAAAACCCCACTTCTCAATAACATTCCTCTGACCCAACTTGGTGTCCCACCCATGATTCCCAGCCGGAAGCCTGACACAAGCCCAACCGAAACCCACCCCATTGTAGTGGAACCATGTATTGAGTTCTATCAAGTCACTAGTGAGGTACAATTGAGGCACTACTCAGTGCATTCTTGCAAAACTGTGCATGCCGTTAAGATTGAGTTATTGAGGCGTAATTGAATTTTTGAGGGAGTTCTTCAGCGTTACTGAGACCTTCAGGTGCTAAGTGCTGAATTGCTCTTCAACTATTTCCAGCCTGCTCCGGATACCTGGCCAACACTTTGTCCTGCCCGCCCTACTTGGGCATCCAGCTTTGACGGTCCATTGTTCCAAGAAAGCGACAGCAGTTTCAGTGCGTATTGAGAACGTCCCAGCTGCAATAACACACCAACTTTGCTCAACTGAAACTACAGATGTGAGGACAAAGGCTGCTTGCAAATGCTTATTCACCCTCAACAAGCATCAACAAGCACCTATTGAAGCTAAATACAAACAAGCCTTTTGTGAAAATCAAGGGGTTGCCTGGCGAGGGGCAGGTAGACATCTATGAAAAATCTGTGGCTTTCTGTCCTCAAAACAAGACTCTCCCATTTGGAAGCCCGCCTTCGGCAGACTGCCCCCTTTGCCCTTGCCCTTGCTGTAGTCCGGCCTCAAGTTGACCGTAAGCCGGCCCCCGGCTTACAGCTTTCTTAGTAACCTGGTGATACCTTGCAAAATAATGTTGACCCCGAATTCATAAACCCCTGTTTATTAATATGGGGGTGTTCCCCTCCAAAAGTGATAAATCCCCACTAAAACCGGGGACACCCCCCTATTAATACACATGTTATTCATCCGGGGTCAACATTGGTGAATTTGCAGGTAAGGGCTTCACGGAAGTGCGGACTCTGAGCAAATTACCATAACTCCGGACTGGAAAGAAAGCGAATGAAGCTTGATCAGCTCGTTTTACCCACAAGTCGCTGTTTCTGATTTGGCCCCGAAAGAGCAAAGGGACCCTCAACCAACCAACGCTTTGGCGAGTTGAAAATTTTGCAAAAACCCGCTGAAGGCCAACCAGGGCGCGTGTCACATCCATCCCCTCTCCCGAACTTCGGCACTGCGTCCCCAGCCGAAACTCACAGCCACATTTGGGGCCCAGACCTCAAAATCCTGGTTACTTTTCAGTGAACCTCCCAATCCCCACTGAAATTCACGTGGGTGGCGCACCTGCCCCAAAATGGGATTTGATTGGTTTTGACCCACAGCTTATTGTACAGGGCAACTGCCCCCGCTTGCCGAGGCGCTCCCAGCCGTCCCAGCCATCCCAGCCGTACTCGTCATCCCCCCTGCCCCAGCCTGCAGATGGCCGGGGCGGATGGTTTTGGGAGCTTCTTGGGGTAGGAAACAAAGGAACACCCTCCATGCAAAAAGAAGAGGAACACTTCGCAACTGTTGGCATGGCTGCAAAAACCTAGGTTTTTTTGCAGCCCCCGAACCTAACAAGGAACAGAACCAAAAAAGGAGCTTAGCAAGAACTGACAAGAAAAGTGTTTTCCAAGGAAACCAACATGAAACTCTCCATTCGGTGTTCCCCGAGCCCAAAAAAACACCAGGCACGACTGTTCGAAGCAGGCGTGCTTCAGACAGGGTTCCTCCAAATTTGAAGATCCGAAGCCGCCGCCTCCGAACGGAGGCTTGTCAAAAACAAATTATGAAGTGGGCGCATGTTCGACAACCATTCCGTCTCAATACCTCACGTCGTAAGTTGTATGCATTTAAAAACAAAAAAGTCCTTAGATATTCGTGTAGCTTCGGATTCATCCGGACCCCGCGATGTTTTTTCAGGGGCGGCTCCCGCTTAGTAAAGACATGATCTGGATAAGAGGGTCCTCCAACAAGTAGGGTCCTCCAGACTCATCCGAAGTCAACATGGGGTCACTAAGAAGGCAGCAAGAATCCAGCCAAAATAGCCGATCGGAAAGGATGAGATTCACCAACCTGAACTCACCAACTGGAAAGTTCACAAACGCTGGCCTTAAGAGCACAAAGCCTAATCCAGGTCAATGGAAGCGCCTTCACCCTGGCAGGGTCCTGGCACAAGGATACACCGAGACATCGGACCTTTTGTACATGTAGAAACCCTTGAAGCAGCCGGTTTGTTTTCCGCTGGTTTTTCTTCTTTTTGTTTCCCCCCGGTAGTTGCAATTTGCAAGTCTGTCTGACCATCCTGTTGCAACTGCCACTGCTGGAGGCTCCAAAAAGGAAAATGGAGGGATCCCTGTTGCCCACAGCTGGCTGGTGCGATAGGTAGAGAATGACCTGAAGCGGATGCCCCTTAAAGGAAACCATGAGTTGGATTATTTATAGGGGTCATCCCATGTTTCATTCCGGGCTGAAAACCAGCAAAATGAGTCTTTTCGGACCCCCCCCCAAAAAAAAGAAAAAAGAAAAGAAGTTATTCTTGTGGGTCTTCCTTTCAAAACCCCCAAAACCAAAGGCACCCTCCAAAAAGCAACGACCACCCCGTGCATAGGTGTCCTTTTTTGGCCCTAGTGGATGATTGAATCACCGGGCAAACCAGGGCGCAGGGCCCTCTATGTTTCAACCAAACCAACCAAAAAGACGCCTACGACCCTGTGCCGAAAATCTTCATCGACTTCGTGTCGCGAATGCCCACCCCCGCCTTTGGCTCCGAGCATGTCGGGGGTGAGGCCGCCCGGGGACGTCCCGTCCCCCGCCAGCACCTCAGACAACAAGCCACCTTTGGGCCAAAAAAATCCACAAAAAACCATTGGTTGTTGTTTATTAATGTATAAAAACCATTGGGTGTTGTTATGTGTATATATATATATATGTGTATATAAACCTGCATGTGACTGTTAAATATATATATATATATAGCATGTGCCAGTTTTGTGTATGGCTCGGAACCCACCTCTGGATGGTCACAAATCCAGAAAATCGGGCCACGGTTAAGGAAACCATGGTTGAAACCATAAGGTTTGTTGGTGCTTACGTAGAGAAATCGAATCATTTCAGAGATTCTGAGGTGGTGCGAAATGGACTTTGTCCACCCACAGTATCAAGGAAATCAAAAGCAAAATCCATTTGTCGCCCTTCTTTGCGGGAATCTTCGAAGCAAAATCCACTTGTTTCAGTAACTTGAAGTTTACTGGTGGGTTCCAACACAATTGCCACTTTTGGAGGTCCAACAATCCATTTGTCTCCCTTGGACACGTACCCCAAATGTTGCCCCAATTGGTCCAAGAAGGTGAGCAGAGCCCGAGCTGACTTGTGGTTCTGCCAACATGGTTTTAAAGGTTTAGCTGTAACCCACTAGAATGGCCAATTGGGGTCTTGAGCGCGCAGGGGTTCAAAAACAAGGGCGCCAGCGTGCTGTTTTCTCCAATTGAGCACCCCAGTGTAGCGCAATGTGAAATGGTGTTGTGGGTGGGTGTGGTTGGTTTACTTGCAATATTTAGGGCATCCACCGTACGGCACCTGGGCTTTTTTTGACTGCGAGCGAGGGAACTCCCCAGAATCCAGCCGAGGGGCAATCTCCCTCGCCTGCCATCCTGAGGATTCGACGAAGCTTTTTTCAGTGGAACTCACGCAAGGCCCTTACAGACCCAGAAGGAAAAGGTGATCACCTCTTGGGCTGACTAACTAAGTCCTCCAGTAGAGAGGTTAGAATAAGTTGGTACCAACTTTTTTCAGGATCTCTATTTTACAGGGGGACCCACCCCCCAAACAAGGTTAAAAGGGCGCCACTGCAAAACCTGACAAAACATGGGAACCCAAAAGGGGGAAACCAAAAGGTCAAAAGGTTGATCCGCTTCGGGCAAGTGAGACAAGCCATCAATTGGAGCCCAGTGAATTTTCGCAAACCTCCGGTTGACTTTCAAAAGAGGGGCTCGTCTTTTGGGAATCCTTCTTCTTGTTTTGGGGGGGAACACCCCCAATTTGGGGGAGAAAAAAAAAGAGTACTGCCTAAACTTGGTGCCGTGGTCCCAATCACCATGGTATCCATGTCTGTGAGATTTGGTTCCTTTACCAAGGGAACGCAAGCGAATTCAAGTTATCTGTTTTCGTTGCTGGGCTTGATCGTGAACCGCTGCAGGACTAGGTCCTCCAGTAGAGAGGTTAGAATAAGTTGGTACCAACCTTTTTCTGTAGTCTATTTTAGTAGGGGGTTCCCCTCCCACCCAAAAACGGGGTAGAGAAAAGGGAGGGGTTCTGGTGTGTCCTTTTTTCTGAGGGTACCTTTGTTGGACAGTTGATGGGACACTAAAAGGAAAACCGCCATTTTACGGGGTCCCCTAAAACAAGACGCACTCACGTATGGCATGGAGAGCAGCAAAGTGGGTTGCGAGGCTGGTTCAGGACACGAACAAGCTTCCCAACACCCATTCATCAAATGATATCCGTCTCATGCTGCGGATGGACGAAATCCATTTCGCACTACTCGGAAACTACGGTTGAAGCCATTGTTTGTTGGCATTTACGTTGGGGAACCGAAGCATTGCAGGGTTCCTGAATTCCGTAAGCGGATTTCGCAACCATCCACAGTAGGGGAACCGCCATGGGTCAAAACTTTGAGTCAAAACCCCGTACCCCCAGTGAACATCCCAATCCCCACTAAAATCCAGCCTAAAATGGGTGGTACACCTACCCCAAAATGGGATCCCATTGGTGTTGACCCACGGCCATGTGAAAACCGCTTATGGCTTCCCTCATCCCCCTTTGGGGTAGCCGGAAAAGCCACAGCCATCAGCCGCAAATTCTAACCTTCCGCTCGGATGTGCGTCTGGGGGTCACTGGACCTCCCCCTGCACTTGATGAATTTGGTGAAGCCTCCTGTTTCAGAATAGGTTGCCGTACACCCCCAACATCGTGGGTTTTCCTTTTGGCCTCTCTTCAAACCAAAAAAAAAGAAGCTACCAAATGCCCAGTTGTTCCTCAGCGTCCATGTTCCCTTCGAGTTGATCAGGCCTCAACATGCAAACTCCACCTCACCAAAGCCGAGCGAGCCTTCCACCCCACCCGAACATCTCCCCGGATTGAAACCACCCAAAAAGGGGGCCAGTAGAGAGGTTAGAATAAGGGTGCCCGTTTTTCTCCGGTCTATTTTAGTAAGGGGTTCCCCTCCCCCATTATAAAAACCATATTTATTCAATATAAAACCCATAAATACTGGTTCAAAATAAATTCTTTGTCCCAAAAAGGGTCGTTTTGCGACACCTTCCAACCGAAGCGGCGGTTCTCCGACTGGGCGTAGGCGGTGCACCACACCACGCTGCCCACGGCCCCGTGCTCCTCGCACCGCTTCTGGGCGTCCGGGCCCACGTCCCCTCGGGGATCGTTCGACGCGGTGGTTTTCCTTTTTTTGGGTTTTATTTTGTTGGTTGTTGTTTTTGTTGGGGTGTTTTGTGTTTTTTTGTTTTTATTTTGTTGGTGTTTTTTGTTTGTTGTTTTTTTGTGTTGTATTTTGTTGTTTTTTCTCCGCGCGAAGCTGAGATGAACCACCCGCGACTCGAAGCGAAGGCGCGAGGGGTACGTTGTTGTTGTTGTTTTTCCGGCCTGAAGCATGGGTGGCTCGTCGGCTCGTCTTTGTATTGAGGCTCGGGAACTGCTTTAGCTTTTGAAGGGAAGCCCAAGGAAAACCCATTTTGGGGGGATGCAACCTTCAAAGTCCTGTGCACTGACGTGGAACCTCCTTTTAAAGGAGTATGGTCTTCCAGGACCCCTCAAGTCAGGTTCCATGTTATTGTGCGGCAGGGTAGAAAAAGGTTGTGGGGTACTTCCAAGCCAATGCGCTGACGATCGGGGAGAAATATGTGCAATCCCCTTAGATTATGTAGGTTTGGCCCTCTCGCAGGCAACTGGAAACCCACTTGCCTCCCAAATGCCCGTCGATTCGAAACCTTGAGGGACAAGAAATCGTTGACCTTTGGTTCTGCTAACATGGCTATGCAGGTTGCGTGCCCATGGATTCGAGATAGTCACATATCCCACAAAAAGATGCCAAAACTGCTCGCACAAGTTTTAGTCTGTCCGATCTATAGGCCGCCAGGCTTGCCTTCGGAACAAATCCACTTGCCGGGGATTTGTGGATAGGTCCCTTGAAAACCCTACAGGTCTCTCAGAACCGGGCAAAAAAGTGGCAAGAACCCACCCACGGTGCCCTGAACAGCGAAGCCAAAAGGATGGCTAAACACCGGGCTTGCCTGAAAAAAGAATGTCTGCCCGACAAAGATTGGATTGCAAACGATATCTATTTGGTAACCCACCTGTGCCATTCAGAACTCCTTAGAACTCCTTGTATCACGGTCATGGTTGCCTTCATGGAATCAAACTACCATGATTGTCTTTAAAAAAAAAACTCCCCGGGGTCTCCCCACACCTACCATCCCATCAAGCACAGGACCCCCTCTTTTTTCACCATGGCGCGAGCATGCCCCCCTCCCCTCTCTCCCCTCCCTCCGTCCCCTCCCCCTCCCCTCAACCGGGGAAAAAGCTCGTAGGGCCGACCAGCCAGGCACCCCGGCGGCCCTGGAAGTAGATGTCGATGGGATTCCCCGTGACGTTGAGAAAGCCTTAGACGCTTGCTTGCCAACCCACCGAGTCAAAAGATGTGCTTTTGTTTGTCTTTAAAAAAATGTCGAACACTGGTAAACATGTCACCAAATGTAAAGGGTCAAAAAGATTGAAAGGGTCAAGAAGGTTCAAAAAGAAGTCGAAAGGTCAAACATCGCATTCTCGGAGACCAAAGCTGATTCATGCCCAGAAAAGCCGAATCGAGCGCCCAAGTTGAATCGAAGTTCATCGGCTGGACCGTTGCACCATCAGACACTTTACCCCTCCTCCGCACTATATAACAGGGATCCTTACAGTGAATACACCTGAACATTGCAACTTGTAAATGGTGGTGTCCATTCCTTTATTTTGGTGTTGAAAAAGCAACATGGTTCAAATGGTAAAGCAAAATGTGTAGCTTTTAAGGAGCCCTGTATAACAAGAGGCAGTGGGAGGGTACCTGGAAGACAATTTTGCCGAAGCTACCCATACCCTGCCAGGTGCCATGGCAAGGAGGGAATGGTTTCCTATGGTTTCAAAGTGGTGCAGGATTTCTTCCATCCACAGTATCACCAAAATATGTTGCGAAGAAATATACGATCGCTGACTTCGCAAAGCTGGCAACATAGGACTCAGATCAAGACAGGAAACCTGCATAGCTGCTTGGCCCCTTCTCGAATAATGTTCATGGTCTGTCTGTCGCGCCAAGCTCTCAAATCATCATCAAATAGGAGTGATGTGTTGCTTTGGGAACCCTTTGGACATCCAAAATCTGTGGGGTGTCCAACTCCTAAAAGTCACAGCAAATGGGTGTCTTTCCCCCAAGATGGTTGTTTTCCTTTTGGTTTCCCTTTGAAGCCAACCAAAAGAGTGGTACCCTCAAAAAACAAACAGACACTCACATAGGCCCAGACTGTTTGTATTTCCCCCGTGTTTTACTTGCCAGTCTCGAAGCCTGCAATCTTCCAGCTGTACCTTCCCCATTCTCGAATCAGGGATCCTTCCCTTCAAAGCACAGGCCTTTTTTGGGTGGAAAATGGGTGGCTCTTCACTTTTTTTTGGGGGGGGAAATGGGTGGTTTCTAAAGAGAACGATGAAGAGAATGGGGAATCCACCCTTGGACATCTCTTCGAACTGCACCAAGGCGCCGAAGCCCTTGTTCTCGTAGAAGCACCGGATCATCCCCGCGAGCTTGATGCCGTCCAGCATCAAGCCCCCACTCTCCAGCAGGTTCACGTTCCTAGCCCCAAAGGGATTTTTTTGGGCCGCCCCCCGGGGCCCCCCGGCAGAAAGAAAAAGAAAGCGGTGTTCCTCGTGGTGTCCCTTTTTTTCTTGGGGTAACTTCCATGTCCATTCTTTCCAGGGTTCCGAATCTTTCTAGAAAACCCCGAAGAAGTGGCTGGGTTTGAAAAGAACAGAATGAGGAATCAAGCCCTATATTTTTTTCGCGGCCGGGGGGACCCCCTGCAAGAGCAAAAGTGGGTTTCCTCTTGGTGTCCCCTAAAAAACCATCCAAAAAGGGTGCCCTCGAAGAAAAAAGATGCACTGCACGTATGTGCAAGTATGTTGTTGCTTGCACAAAAACCGCTAAGAAACCTTCAAAAGTTGTCGGGCACAATGCTGCCTTGCTTGTTCCCTTACTTGAAATATGTGGATGGTTGCATTGCGTATTTTCCACAAGTTGGCAAAGGGAAAGATAATAAGATGTCTTTGAATCTTTGAATCCCCAGACTGGTTCAATCGAAAAGCAAGTCATCCCTCTTCCCGAGTGAATTGCCAAACAAAAGTCCAACCTGTTTTATCTACCACTAAAATGGTTGAAACCCAAAAAGGGACTCAGGAAGTGAGTCATCCGCTTCCATTTGCTTAAGCCCCCTGGAAAAATGCTGATTTGTTTCCAGCCGTGATAGATTCCCTTCCAAAACCAACAAGGGATGTTTATACTAATACTGTATTTTGTGTTTAATAATAATTTAAAAAAAAAAAAAAAAAAAAAAAAAAAAAAAAAAAAAAAAAAAAAAAAAAAAAAAAAAAAAAAAAAACTCCCTTCCTCCGCTGCCCATCCGCCTGCGGATCTCCCCGCGTCCCGCGCCTGGCGTTCCAGCGGCCGTCGGAGCGCGCCTCCACGCGGCAGCAGGCCAGGCACCCGGAAAGGCCGTTGCCGCCCACCAGCCTCGGGGCTTGTCTAGGTGCTCCAGATTTGAGAGGTTAGAATAAGTGGCTGCCAACTTTCTTCAGGATGTCTATTTTAGTAGTGTTTTTTTCCTTTGTCTATTTTAGTAGTGGAACCCTCCCCCCAAAAAGAATCGGTGAAAGGGCACTACTGGGGGACCTAGTTGTGGAACGCAACCCAAACGGTATCTCGGCTTGCCGAAAAACCCAAACGCTATGGTACCCAACAACCATATGCTGTGAAAACTGTGTTGTTTGTTGTTGTGTTTTTCGTTGTTTTTTGTTGTTGTTGTTTTGCGGCCCCTATGAAGGTCACTCCGCATGGCAAAGGGCCAACACTTTCCAACCCTTGTGGTATGGGCTGACGGTTTTCCGCATACTAACAGGGCGCACACAGCTGGGCGAGCCCCTTTTGGTCATCAGCGTGGCGGGTGCTAAAAATGAACAGAACCACAAACCAACCAAGCGCGCCATTCTTGTGTTGCTCAACCACACGGCAAATCAGAACCAACCCGGCCCTGGACACGGGGTTTCTCATCAAAATAGGATCCCTTGGCTCCCTTGGCTGTAAAGGGAAACCCAAAAACAGAAGCCGCCCGCCCCACCAGGTGTGCCCTCCCCCTCCCCCCCAAAGCCGGGTGGCATGAGCACCCCCTGGGACGGCTCGTCCAGGTCCTGCATCAAGGTGCTTCAACAGAAGGTGTTTACATCTTCAAATCCGACCTGCGGCTGGACGACATCCGTTCGCACCGCCTAAGAAGCCCTGGAATGATGATTCCCCTACGTATAAATACCAACATGGTTTCCACGTGGCGCGGGATTTCGCCCATCAACAGCATCCATTGTCCATTGGCTTCCCCTCAAAAGCACGCCAAACATGTCTCAAAGAAACGGATACTGGGCACCTAGCTGAGTTTGAACTCCTGGATTCCTTTCAGGGGGACCTAGGATTGAAGGCTTGAACCCTTCGACGTCGCTTGGATACATTTCGGCCAGTTAGACATATGTGTGTTCCGATTTGGAGCATCCCCTTACGTAAAACAGGCGGTTTGTTGCATGCGTCCTACCAGAGCTCTGATCGAGAAGAGTTTTGGGCATGAACCGGCGTCCCCTAAACGGAAAAACCGCCAGTTGTTGATGCGTCCTTTTTCGGTGTCAACTCGTTCCCGGGGTCGGAACCCACTTGCAGATGTTCCACAAACCGCTCGAAGTGGTTTCCATCTGAGGTGATGTCTAAGTGGAATCCATGGTGTCCATCTTTCTTGCGGGTGATGATGGTTGATTTCCCATTCTCTTCACCCATCCTGTTTAGAAATCACCATTTTCCCAGGGGGCTAGCCGATCTTTTGAAGGGGAAGGACCCCTGATTCGAGAATGGGACAGGTGCAGCAGAGCAGCCAAGGTTCCTTCCAATTGGTGCGCTGCTTTGGTGGTTCTTGCTCTTTCCGAATTTGCCCTCAAGAACCAGGGCTTCAACTCCAAATCGAACCAACACAAATACTGGGCTGCCCTCAGATCCCCCGCTAAAAGTTCAACTTTTCGTGGGTTCAATGGAAACTACAACTAAACACTCAAAGGCTGAAAAGCTAAGGAACCGGATGACTGGCTTCGCCACCAAGAATCATCTTCGGGCTTTATCGCCTTCGGGCCCCAAGTGGCGGCTGAATGGATCGGCCAAGTGGCGCGGCCGTGGAAGTAGAGGTCCATGCCCGCCCCCGGGATCTTCAGGAAGCCAAAGCCCCGGGTGTCGTTGAAGGACTTCACCTCGAAACCCGAAGAAAAACCGCCCGCTGGGTGGGTTGGTTTTGGACCAAAGAAAATACCATCCCCAGCTGGTTGCAAAAGAGGTTCATATCCCCAACCAAAACCGAAAACCCTTCCATTTGTTTTTTGGCCCGCTGGAAAAAAACGAGGAAATATGTGTGAGTTCGATTCCCTTTCCAATCAAACGGCCTCCCAAGACGTGCAATGGCTCGACGGAGGCAGGGAATGGGCATGGCTCAAAAAGAAAGAGCTAGGGGCACGCAGGTTTTAATCTTTCTTTCAAGTTTACTAAGGTGCCAAATGAGAAATGGAATGACCCCGAGCAAAAATCCATCCGAATCCCCAAAACTTGTTCATTCCCAACACCCGGAAGGTCATTCCCTACCATCGCACCAGCAAGCAAAGGGGGGTCCAACCCAACCCAAAAAGGAGCTGCCGTCTACAAATGGGCGGGCCTCTTGGGGTTCCATAGTCAGTCTGTCCAAGCTTTGGGTGAATCTGTCCCCAAAAGTCAAGCTGGGCGTCCTTTGTTGCGCACCCTTTTTGGGCCTCTATAAAAAGCCAGTACTCAGTATCTTCGAACTGCTCATTCGAATGCCCCCGGTCCCCCATCAGCTTTGTGATGCCTTCCAGGTCTTCCGGACTAGTCGTCCCATATTTCAACGCACTCGCCTGATTAAACAAAAGCACTTCCTGTGATGGGAAACTTACTGGATCCTGGTTTGTGAAAAATGTTGAGCAAATTTAGAGGACAAATCCCTCAAAAGCCTCCCCATCAAAACAAGGCCAAAGACACGTTTTTCGGTGCGCCCAGAGCTGACTTTGGGCACCTACATGGCTACATACATGGTCATGAGTCATGAGCTCTAATTTTGCTGGCCTTCCCATAACTTAACCTCGTGAAACCAGGTACCTACCAATGGGGGAGCGGTTCCCTCCAAAAGCGAACCCCCACTAAACGGGGACACCCCCCAATCAAAATCAACCAAAAGTGTATCAATCCGAGAATCCCGTCAGAACCTCAACTGGGCCTTCTTTCTTCAATCGCAGCCAACCATAGAATCTCCCCTTAAAACCTCACCCCCAAGGGATAGTCACCTTTCATGGGCCAGAAAGGTGCTGTTTAAAACCACCAACAAGAGACATATAACGACCCCCGTGCAAAACCCAGCACCGACACCCAACCCGCGGCAAAACCGCAAAAAACCCGCCGAACCTTCCCCGAACCACCGGCCCACCCACCCACCGCCCCACCCGCGCCGTGGCGGTGATCGTCGCGCCGTCCTTCAAGACCACCGGCTCCACGGCCAAGGGGTCCGCGTTGCCGATGGTCAGATCCGTGCCCTGGCGGCTCATTCGACCCCAAGCGGTTTGGTGAAATATGGCTGTGGTTGTCAAAACCCATGGGATCCCAGTTTGGGTGGTAGGTGCACCACCCATTTTACTTGGGATTTTAGTGGGGATTGGGATGCTCACTGGGGCTACGATTTGGATTTTGAAAAGCCCACGGCCATATGTCGCTCCCGCCCGGTGGATCCCAGACCTTTCGGCCCTTGTAGGTAACCAGCACCATGTTCCTTTTGGCGTTCAAAGGGTGGCAAGCTGTTGGTTGGCTACCCTGGTAGATGCTGGGTTTGCGATCCGGCTATGGGGGGTGTTTCTAGGGCAACCCAAAGATCCCAAAGGCAATGGATCATTTGAGGGGTTCTACAGTTTGGGAAGCTCCCACAGTAAGACATCTGCCACAAAATCCCTAAGGTTGCACGCCTGATCAAGTCGCATCCCCACACCGAAATCTGATTGCCCGGCTCTCCTGCAATCTTGGGGGCTCCAACGCGCCAAAGGGGAAACAGAGGGGAATTGGTTGAGTTGAGTTCGAAAAAGCCAGCGGCTTCTCCCGGAAGAAAAACGCATCGAGTTTGTATTTGCAAATGAGGGACCCTTTGTACATCACGGGATTCATGTCCAACTTTTGAGGTGGCAACTCCTAGACTGCACAGCGGCACAGCCCCGTCCTGGCAGATGCCGTCCGGCAGGAACCGCAGCGCTAGGCTCACCTAGCGGGTCTCGAAAAATTCGGGCCGAGTTGATGGGCCAGCGTGCCTAGCGTGCCTTATGTCCAGTGACACGATCGACTTCCACTTTTGGAGGCCAGGCCTCGGAGCCTTCCTCCAGCAGGAGGTTCTTGGTGTCGAAGAAGTGCACCTCGTCCGCCTTCCCCGGGCACTCCAAGATGCCGAGCCGCGTTTCTGCGAAAGCGCGCAGAGAGGGGGGGGTTGGGGGGGAGGGTTGGGGGAGGGTTGGGGGAGGGTTGGGGGTGGGGGGGGTGGCGGGGTGGGGGGGTTGGGGAGGGGGTGGGGGGGTTGGGGGCCGGCGAGGCGGTCGCTTCGGGCGAAAGGGGGTGGCAGCTGATTCCGGTGCCCTTCAGCGGGCACAAGGCTGGAAGAGGTCATTGATGTGTGCATGCTTTTGTGGATGTGTGGTGCTGGAAATACATGGGCCTCCTGCGTGAGCATTCAGGGTGGGGCTTTCTCGGCCTCTGAAATCAGAAGTGTCTCCGTCGGGGTCCCAACGCAGCCTTGAGACAAGTTGCTAAACCCCACCGTGAAAGATCCAAAAACAAACACAGGACCCCGGGCTTAACTGATCTGCACACACACACACACACACACACACTTGAACTCCAGATGGAGAGTGCTAATCTTTCGAGTACAACTGATGAGTCTCGAGTACAACTGATGAGTCTCGAGTATGATGAGTATCGGCTTGATTTCCGCGGGCAAAGAGGGGACCTTGTTGGGAAGCAGGTACGTGGCTGAGCGTCCTCAGCTACTTCCCTTCCAGTGACCTAGCTTCGTTGGATCAGGTCAGTCACTGGAAGCCTGATCCCCCTGCTGCGAAATTGAAAAAATGGTGACAGGGCATTCTGTCACTCCGCACACACACGCCCCTCTACGAGGGGCGAAGTTTCTCTTTTCTCCTGCAGGAAGATCAAATGCTCACACTCAATTGTCTAACGTTGACCAAAAAATCCTCCACGGCGAGGGGAGCGAGACACCGCCCTAAACCGCTCAGAAGACGGGAACGAAAGATCACCACCTTGAGCATTGCGAGTGTTGCCATAGAGGACTGAAGCGATTTGCGAAGCAGCCGGGCGATCACCTTGAGAAAACGGAGTGGCATAGGTGAATGTCTCCTCCACTGGCACAGCATCGAAGTTTCGAACTTGACCAAGCGCCTGATCATGTGGATCGCGAGTCGCGAAGGACTCAACCCGAGACAAGATGCGCTGGTACCCTTGGTGTTGCCAGTCACGGATGTCCCATGCTTGGGCTGGCGCATCGGGCTCAGTCACTCGCCTCCATTCCCGAAACGAATTCTCAGGGACATCAGGCAAAGGGTCCCCGCGGTGCCATCGTTGAAGATGTCCTGGAGTGTATATCCGCACCCACTCCTGATCATGCCAGACTGAATATTCAAGCCATGGGTGCTGTTTTGCATCATCGATGTCCATGTCGAGGCAAGAGGCAAGGATTGTCGCGGGCTCCGATCCGGCTAGTAGAACAAGCACAATACACAAGCAAGTCCAACCAACAACCAAGCAAGATCATGCAGGTATAAAGACCACCCTTATTTTATACGCTGCGCTGCTCATGCGAGTCTAGTCTTCAGTGAGCTCGAAGACGGGACCCATCTTGTCTCGGCCATTGTCGGAAGGATTAACGAGCCGGTAGGGGTCGGAGACCCCAATCGTCTCCAATGATGTGCTTCCTCGCGATGCACGTACTGGTTGATGAGGATGGGAAGCGAGACGAGCGCGAGCTGTCAGTTGTTGAGAAATCCCTTCCTGGAGACGGGTCAGTTCCTCAGTAGAGAAATCAGCTGCATCCGAGGACCTGAGAATCGCGTCTAACAGTTCTGGCGACATTGTCAATGCCGCAGACTGCGTGGCCACGCTGTGATGATCGGAGGAATACCCTGAATCAAGTTCATGACCTGCGTGAGGGGCAGCGATTCTCCTATAGCCCTCTGTGGCCCAGTCTCGTTTGTACCACATAGGGATCTGGGCCTGCTCTCCGACGGCGGCCTGGTTGGGTGCATAGAACTCTTTCCATTCTCGAAAAGTATGTGGAGGAGGTGGATCATCATGTTCTTCTTGCGGCGTCCACGGTCCCGGATGAAAGATCTTGACCCACTGGGCATCTGGTTGTTGAGGGTCCGGGCACCATTCCAGCCACGCCATGACAACACCACTGCAGAAAGACGAGTTGATAGGTGTACGGCTGCAGACAAAACAAGTGAAAACAAGTCAACAATCATAATGCAAAAGACCACTTTTGTAACACTGCGCGGCGCCAACATCATAGTCCAACTCTCCAGGGAGGCGAGGACGAGGATCAGCTATCAAGCGAATTAGATGATGCCGAGGAGGAAGTCATTCCAGCATACATGAGGTCCGGTGCACCCGAGGCGAAAACTGGCCTCGCTATGCTAGGATGTGGACGACCCAGGCGTTGATATCCCCTGGTGACCCAGTCCCTGTAGTACCAAGTGTAGAAGGTGGCGTACGACACCGGTTGCAGAACCGTGCCTGTGGTTGTGCCGCCCGTGCTTTCCCTGGGCCAGTACACCTCGAAGTGGTGGACCTTGCGCCATTCCCGATAGGTGGTCGAGTCATCCGGGGCCGGACCCAGGGTGTCTGGGGCTACTGGATGCCACTGACCCGGAACATAGATTCGAATCCATTCCACACTCGTTCCTGCTCGACCATTGACGATGTCATAGTCAAAGTAACGAGGTAGGATCCATCCTGCTGCGCCCTGCACTGTACTATTGAACATGTCAACCCAACAAGCTGTTCAAAGTTGTTACGGTAAGCGGCGGACACACTGAAACGACATGCAAAGCACCAAGCAAGACAACCCAATGTGAGTACACATGCAAAGCAAGCGCAACCGCATCTTTGTCCAACATGCTACTCAAGAGTCAATCCGACACATTCCAAGGATCATGGAATGGCGGCGGTGACGGTTCCCGCCACGCCCCATCCGGTACCGACGAGCCCACCGAGGAGTCGACGTCTGCATTGACGAGCATCGCGAATCCGATGGATTGTACAGGAGGTCCAAGTCGTTGGTAACCTCGTGTTTGCCAGTCACGGTACTCCCATACGTGGTAGGACACATAGGAGCTGGGCGTGGCTATGGGATCCATTGTGGTGCCACCAGTGCTGTCTTCAGACCAATACACTTGGAAGTGATATGATCTGCGCCACTCCCGATACGTGGAAGCGTGCAGTAGGTCAGGGACAGGTGCTTCATCGGGAACGGGCCTCCAAATGCCCGGAGAGTAAATTCGAATCCATTCAACTCCTCTATCGATCTGGTACTCGAAATACTGGGGGTTCATAGCAGCAATACGGGCCTGCACGACTGCTGAACCAATCTAAGGTCTGCGGCAAGGAAAAACATGCATGGCCAATCGCACATATACGCTGAAGAGGTAGGCAACTTTTCAAACACAAGGTGAAACGCAGCAACGAGGTCGGAAATGCAAACTCCTAGCTTTCACTGTCGTTGATGTCGCGCACACCTGCAATGATAGTGACCTGGCCGTCTACGAGCACAAGGAGAAAGACATTTCCGTCCATGGCGCAGGATGGCGTGACAGTAATGCTTGCACGCCGCCGAGGGGGATTTTGATGGACGGCCAGCACGCTTGGAATAAAACACTGTAAAGGGCCGTCGAGATCGCCGCGGCGCTGAAGCTGATGGTGTCCGGGATCGTTTGGACGAGCGCACTGGACTGCGTGGTTCTTCATCACAAGAGGGGTCACTGCTGTAGATCGAGCGGCGTGTGCGTTGCGATTTCGAAGAGGTAGGGTAGGATTGTCCGCGAGGGGCTGAGATCGAAGGGCTGTGTACCGTGGGCATAAATTGTGGGTGAAGAATCACCGGTGGTGGTGGTGGTGGTGGTGGAGGAGGAGGTGGAAGAAGCAATGGCAAACTTGGCGGGGGCGGAGGTGACGTAGTTAGCCGACTGGGTCTGTCTAGTAGAGCCCCGGGTCCATGAAATTGTAACCACGTCGGCTGCGCTCCATGGGTCCAGGTAATGTACGTCTGTACAACTTGTTCCGACATGATTTGAGCAACTCAGGCAAGACATCACTGCATGTCAACAACATCACACAACCCGACAAGTAAGATTGAGTCACATGCGAGAAAGCCAACATCATGTGATCAACAACTCGAATCGGACACGCCGCCGCTGCTCATCGTTTGGTCCATCAATGGTCGTTGCTGCATGTGTCGGGCATGTTGCTAGCCGCGAGCTTCAAGTTGTTGATAGACCTTCCATGCCTGCTTGACCTCCTCAATCGGTTTCTGAAGAAACCGCGCAATGGTCTTATAGGTGGGCCTGGAATCTTTATCCTTCTTCCGTCTTACCATTTCATCCAGCTCCCCTTGTGTCCATGTCGTGAAAGGTTCACGGTACGCATTGCGAAGTGCAATGGTAAATTCTTGTAGAAGTTCTCGAGGACCATGGACCACCGTCGGGGACGGCCGGAACGACGATGCACCTGGATGCGGACGTATCGAACCATCAGAATCCGAATCAGGTGTCGTAGGCGTCGTTTGTCCTGGCTCTCGTCCACCGTGTGGCGCGAACGGAGCAAGGGGACGAGGAGGTGGTAGTCGATCCAACATCGATTCGGGCCGAGCTCCTGGATTGTGGTCACTAGCATCACGGTGTGTCGCTCGAGGTGGGGACAAAGCCGGTATGTACCAGGTAGATGACGTGTCCAGCGGTCGGCCCCGAATGCGTGCGGGGGAGCGAGATCTGTCAGATGAGGGTTGCTCCGTGATGATGCGGGGCCGCAACCCATGTCTGGAGTTTCTTGGTGCTCTTGGGGTCACCACCGCATCAGTTGGACGACCACGCTCCGTCATCAAGGCAAAGTTCAGGGTGTCCAACGCTGTCGCCACTTGGGAAGCAAGGACATTGAGCACAGCCACCAGGTTATTCACAAACTCAGCTGACAACTGCATGGCAACGGATCAAACCACAAGGTCAACTCAAGCAAAGCTGCAAGGCGATAATGCTGCGGCATGACAGAGATAAGGCAAATGCAAGCATGAGTGTAGCAAACACTGACGTACTTTTATCGCTGTTGCTCCGTCATCGTTCATAGGACAGACCAGACGGTCTGCAAGCCGGCATGGCTTTAACTGCCGGTGGATACTTAGGA